CGACTCAAAAAATCAGTACTCGTGTTATTTTTACCTTAAATGTGAGAAATTTCTAAATTATAATTTTGTAGGAAAAACTGCCAACGCTGTAGTCGAGCGTTATTAAAATTACATGTCTTCAAAAACGTAAGTGCTTCATGATCTGTTCGCGCGAAAATCTTTCTTGCACCACGTAAATATATGTATAACTTGTCTAATGACCAAACAAGTGCTAATAATTCTTTTTCAGTCGCATAATAATTTAATTCACTAGCACGTAAGGTTCGACTAACAAAAGTGATTATTTTTTCATTGCGACAAGATAGCCGCTATAACGTAATCACTTGCATCAGTCGTTAAAATGTTTGGTTTCGTTACGTTCGGGAATTTTAAAATAACCTTCTCATCAAACGCATTTTTGATATCATCAAAAGCCTTCTGATGACAAGACTCTCATACGAACGCTTGTTCACAAATTTTTCTTTTATAATTGATTCAATGGAATGGTTATACTCGCATTATTTTTTTACAAATTTCGTATAAAAATTAACAAAATCTAAGAACGATTGAAGCCCTTGTACATTCCTTGGCACCAGAAAATTTTTGATTGTAGCGATTTTTTCAGATTGTGGTTTTAGACCGTCGCATGGTAGTCTATGCCCCAAAAAATTAATTTCATCTTTAGCAAAATTGGATTTTTTGAAACTCAAACGCAAATTATGCATAGAAAAACGATCGAATACTAATATTAAATTATGAGTATTGAAATTCGGCGAGAATATAGCAAGATCATCTACAAATTGTAGAATAAACGATTCTGAATTCCATAAAACGTCGTACATACCACGCAAAAGTCAGACCCAGATGTTTTTATGCCAAACGGTACCACATTGAATTCAAAAATGTGATTATCTAGCTTGAATGCAGTGTACTTTTTTGACTCTTCAGTCAAGGGAATTTGACAATAGGAACTTGTTAAATAAAGATTAGTTACAAAACGGGCATTTTCACATCTTGGCAAAAGTTCCTCTATTCCGGGAGGTAATTCAAAATCATCAACTAATTGATCATTTAACTTCCTCGCGTCTAAACATAATCGTACTGAGTTGTCTTTTTTTATAACAATCCGAATAGGGTTTATATTAGGACTACATGACCTTCGAATTACATTCAATTCTAACATTTTTGTAATTTCGTTTTGCACTTGTTGGCGATAATTCAAGGAAATAGGGTACTGACGTGTAAAAAAGGGTTTATAGTTTTTTAGTGTAAGACCATGTCAATAAGTATTTATGACTCAAGGTCGATTTTCAAAAAGTATGTTTACATTCTTGAACTAATGTTTTTAATTGTACATTTTGGATATTAGACAAATTATTAAATAAATCAATCTTTGAATCGATCTCATGTTAAGAGAGCGCACGATTGCTATAATAACAAAAATCGATAGTATGATCATCTTCATCGTTTAGAGATAATTCGTTGATTATTTTATTTGTAATATCCAACGATGTTTTTAATGAATTTCCATAATTTATCTGAAAAGATTTACGAAGCTCCTCGGATGAAAATTCCTTCAACATTATTATACTATAGGTTTCATTTTCAATTCGTACGCAGATCAATTCCTGAGTCGAATCAATAATCAAATCCAATTTTTTAAACGCGCCAAACCCTATGATAATACTTTGCGTTAATTTAGGCACGATTACAAAAGGTAACGAAATTTTAACACTTCCAAATTGAATAAAAAGCCATACTCGTTTAGTAACGCGAGTTGTTTTTTGTTCCTTTGCGACTCTCATGAACTTACCCGTTAACGGCAAAATAAGAGCATTTTTTAAGACTTTCAAATTTTCGTTATAAAACGATTCGGATCAACACGTAATCTCACTCCTAGAATCGATAAGTGCGTTAACTGCTAGGCCTTGAATTTGAGGGGAATAACTAGGCATTTTACTTCAGGCTTTATCATGTCCTGTGGATCTATGTCATGCAATAAAATTTCTCTAGGATTCTTAAAGCACGAATCGATATTTTCATGTTTATATATGTTGCCTACTTGAAACAAATTATTTATTTTTGTCGGTTTTAGATAACTATGAAGTTGCGCACTAATCAATAATTGGAAAAAACTGCCGTTACAATCAATCCCATGATGTATGACCGATTTCTGCCTTTTTCTTTTGAGTTTTATAGATCGCCAATTTAAGCGTTTGTAAATGAATTTCCGCATATGCAAATGCCAAACCCAATCCCATACGACATTGATACCCTCCTTGGGAAAATAATTTCGATGAATCATGCTTAATTTATGCACGGCATAATCCCAAGAATTTAGCATGATCTTTTGTCGTTTTTTGGAGGATTATCAGACATTAAATGTGCAAGAGTTTGAACTTGAGCTCATTGATTGAAAATTAAAAGGCTTATCACTTTCACTGACTGGTTCTTTCATATTTTTTTTATTGCTTGGGATAGTATCGGAACCTTTTGAAAACGAAATTTGGTTTGCATGCTAAGGGCATTGGCCTTCAAATTTAGATTGATTATAATTCTCAGTTTTATGCTCCTGCTGTACATTACCGAATGGTTTTGAAGATGGATTATTTTTATGATCATTTTCTTTCAAGGCGTTTTGACGCTGAGAATTCGCGTGAGCACGTTTATCTTCAGAATCTACATTCGTCAACACATTCAACAATGTCTCTACAGTAGCGTCCCGGTCACACATTATAGATTGACGAGTCGCTCGTTCAAAATGGCTAGCTATCAATAACAAGAATTATTTTTCATCCAAAAAAAGACCCAGATCCCGAGCAAAGCCTGAAATTTGGGTAGCATATTTAACCCGAGTAATCTTTAAATTAGGATTATAATTTCCGAATTCAATTTTTCGTTTTAATGTTTTTTGTACATTTGCATTCCAATATCACTCTTTAAATTTGATAAAAAATTGCTTATAATTGGCAATATCAGATTCTCGCAAATACCAGCAATCCTTAGCAGCCACCTCAAAATATTCCCCTATAATGCACGGTATTTGCTGTTCGCTTAAATTTATATAGTGCATATAGTTTTCCAGTTCTGCTAGAAATTTGATAGGGCGTTCTTTCTCCAAGCCCTTTAATTTTGGTAAAGGTAAATTTACTTTCGAGGCGGGAGCTATTTGTGATGACGATCGCTTAATTTTTTCATTAATTTTTTTACTTGAATTTTGCACATACCGGATGACCCGTGCGTATTCTTCGTCTAATCGTTGATCGAGATTTTCACGTAGTGCCTTTAAGTCATCATATAAAATCATTTCCTTTTCAACGGTATTTGTACGGCCTATAACGAGATTTACTTTAGCATTATAGTCATTGACCATTAGATTTATTTTGTCGATCTTTGGTATTGACTTAACCTGTCCTTCAATGACTTTCAAAATTTTTTTCTTTTTCTATGACAAATTCTTTTGTTATGTTTTGAAGTATCTCACTCAAACGATCGATTTACTTTAAAATTCATCGTGTATGGATTCCACTTCATTCTGAGCATTTTAAAGGGCATTTAAAACGCGCACCTTTTGACTTAAAGCTTTGTTTTCTTGAAATAGGATTTTAAGATCTTTAAAAACGCCTTTTTGAAATTCAAGCAGGTTTAGAGCTTCAAGATTCTCATCTGGAGAATCCTCTGATCTTTCAACTATGGTATTTAAAAACGTACCAGTACGTCGACGGTGATCCATTTGTAACACACAAACACCTATATGGGATATTCTTGAGCACTTGAGGAGCGGGGACCAGCGTGTGGATCAGCTTCCCCTGAGTCAAAATCCGTTTACAGAATAATTTTTTAACAATTATTCATTAAGTAAATGGATTTACAAAAGTGCTCAATTTCAGCGTGTTTAAAACGCCAATTTCAATGGCACGGGCTGCCATAAAGTGCAGTGTCATGGATCGCAACAACATAGCAACAAACCTCTAGGTCGGTAAACAAAGTCTGAATAGATCTCCTAGCGGGCAGGAGATGGCGCTCAAATGTGATTAAAATAGTAAAAACGTGTAGCTATAAAATTATTAGAAGGAGATGAAGGGCTGAGTAGCAGTAAAATAAATAAGCGTACGAAAAGGTTATTTAGTTAACCCGAGATATTATTGTGAGATCATTCTACATACGATGAAATTGACAATGACGATGAAGATGATGATGATAATGATGAAGAAAATAAACATGATAACTAATATAATATAAGGAAGAAGATACAATTGTTAACAACATTAATAATAATAATAAAGGCAAATATTCAACTTAAGCGGCTATCAGGTGGAACTTGGGCCGCACTTGGGTAGTACTTGAGCAGTGGCGCTTGGGCGGTACTTAGACGGCACTTTGGCTGTAGTTTGACGGTACTTGGGCAGAATGTTAGCAGTGGCACTTGGGCGGTACTTGGGCGGCACTTGGGCCGTACTTTAACGGTACTTTGTCGGCACTAAGGCAGAATGTGAGCAGCGGCACTTGGGCGGCACTTGGGCCGTACTTTGGCGGTACTTGGGCAGAATGTGAAAAGCGGCACTTGGGTGGTACTTTAGCTGTAGTTTGTCGGCACTTGGGCAGAATGTGAGTAGCAGTACTTGGGCGGTACTTGGGCGTTACTTCGGCCGTACTTTGGCCGTAGTTTGTCGGCATTTGGGCAGAATGTGAGCAGCGGCACTTGGGCAGTACTTGGGCGGCACTTGGGCCGTACTTTGGCGGTACTTGGGCAGAATTTGATAAGCGGCACTTGGGCGGTACTTGGGTGGCACTTGGGCGGTACTTTGGCTGTAGTTTGTCGGCACTTGGGCAGAATGTGAGCAGCGGCACTTGGGTGGTATTTAAGCGGTTTTTGGGTGGCACATGGCGGTACTTGTACTGTACTTTGGTGGGACTTGGACAGAATTTGAGCAGCGGCACTTGGATGGTACTTGGGCGGTACTTTGGCGGTATTTTGGCTGTAGTTTGTCGGCACTTGGGCAGAATGTGAGCAGCGGTACTTGGGCGGTACTTTATCGGCACTAAGGCAGAATGTGAGCAGCGGCACTTGGGTGGTACTTAAGCGGTTTTTGGGCGGCACATGGCGGTACTTGTACGGTACTTTGGTGGCACTTGGACAGAATTTGAGCAGCGGCACTTGGATGGTACTTTGGCGGTATTTTGGTGGCACTTGCTTGGCACTTCGGTGCATTTTTAGTAGAGGCACTCGGGTGGTACTTGGATAGTATTATTTTTGTACCTCACTCAATTTGAATAATTTTTCTTATTGACTGCCCAAGTACCGTCCAAGTGCCGCTGCTCAAATTCTGCCCAAGTGCCGACAAACTACAGCCAAAGTACCACCCAAGTGCCGCTTTTCACATTCTGCCCAAGTACCGCCAAAGTAAGGCCCAAATGCCGCCCAAGTACCACCCAAGTGCCACCCAAGTGCCGCCCAAGTACCGCCCAAGTGCCGCTTTTCACATTCTGCCTTAGTGCCGACAAAGTACCGTCAAAGTACGGCCCAAGTACCGCCCAAGTAGCGCCCAAGTACCGCCCAAGTGCCGCTGCTCACATTCTGCCCAAGTGCCGACAAACTACAGAGAAAGTACCGCCCAAGTGCCGCCTGATAGCCGCTTAAGTTGAATATTTGCCTTTATTATTATTATTAATGTTGTTAACAATTGTATCTTCTTCCTTATATTATATTAGTTATCATGTTTATTTTCTTCATCATTATCATCATCATCTTCATCGTCATTGTCAATTTCATCGTATGTAGAATGATCTCACAATAATATCTCGGGTTAACTAAATAACCTTTTCGTACGCTTATTTATTTGTCTTTACGTTACTGATACTCAGCCCTTTATCTTCTTTTAATAATTTTATAGCTACACGTCTTTACTATTTTCATCACATTTGAGCGCCATCTCCAGCCCGCTAGGGGATCTATTCAGACTTTGTTTACCGACCTAGAGGTTTGTTACTATGTTGTTGCGATCCATGACACTGCACTTCAGGGCAGCCCGTGCCACTGAAATTGGCGTTCTAAACACGCTAAAATTGAGCACTTTTGTAAATCCATTTACTTAATGAATAATTGTTAAAAAATTATTCTGTAAACGGATTTTGACTCAGGGGAAGCTGATCCACACGCTGGTCCCCGCTCCTCAAATGCTTAAGAATATCCCTATATACGTACCAAAAGGGAATAAACAACGGATCGCTTTCTACCCCGGGTGAAGATTCTTTATAAAAAGGATTGCAATGTTTGAGCTAATTTCGCGATTTTTTTTAAATACTTGGTCAATGCTATACGAATGATTACGCAAAACGCCGAATATTCGAGAAAACAGGGAGTGTTTGTATTTGTTTGAGTAATTACAATTATACTCTACGTTGAGCACTTTAGCATTCAAATCATTCAATTCATTCTTTAATTTTACAATTTGTTCTTTAAGTTCCTTAGTTTTCCATTCATGCTGTACATCAAGTGTTCTCAAAATTTGTATGTGTTCCTCGTGAACGTCTAACGTGTCATAAATGAAACTAAAATTTAAATCACACGAAACACTAGTTCTCGCGTCCATTCGCTTATATTCACAGTTGACTTCTATGTGTCACTACGTACTCATTTCATACACTGAATGGCTTATAGGCTCTTAGTCGAGCTCCAAAAATTTTTGTATGTGACGTTTTTTCTCGCGAATGTTCAAAACACTTTGAAACACATAACAAGGGATAGGGCCGTGAATTGTGCAAGACCATTTGCTACGCTTTTCTAGGATATTTCTTCAAATATCTTATGGATATTAGTTCGCATGAACCAATTTTGCTATAAGTATGTGTCTGAATTTTCCCTCCCAGAGAGATATCGCAGTTGGAAACGATCAGGGAGGAATGGGAATTAAGGTACAGGAGCTTATCAACATCATGATTGAATGATATATTAAACTGACCTGGAAGGTTTTTTGGTAATTTCCCTCCCATAAATATCCCCACATCAATACTCACCATGTACTTGATTATGTATCAAAGTTGAGGTTACAAGTCCTTGACTGCGATGATTAAGCACGGGTGTAAGTAAATAAATATTTAGGCTTATGAAACAGCATTCTCTACACACAATTGTATTTATACACAATTTAATTATATACTTCTTATCAAACCTACTTACAATCCAAGCAACGGTGAAGTTACCAAAAAAAAAAAAATAATAATTACATTTAGATTTGTATAATACAATGCGATGTCCCACGTTTAATAATTCCGCAAATACAAATTTAATGTACGACGCGTGACCAAATATAAGCATTTATATAATAAACAAAGAAAATATCATTTAATTTAAGATTATCTCAAAGCAGTTTTCTTCAAATTTTATCAACACAAAAAGAAAATGTATGTTAACAACATATAATTAGTAAAAGTTCCTTGAATAAATATGTATTCTTTGTAATACGGATTAATTCAAAATTATTGAATGTAATACACAAAATTATCAAAGTCAACAGAAGGCTGATAAATTGGGCTAGTTTGCGAGCGTTCCGAGAAGCCAAGTCATAGCACTTGCCACGCAGAAGGATCGGAGCAAAAAGCCACTGAGCTCTGGTCACTAATCAGCAGGAGGCCTCAGAAAAATTCGGCGACTTGAGCAGCGGCATTCCCACCTTTTGAATCCCAGAGCTTTCTATGTATGGTTGACAAAGACAGCTATTGATGAGTTCCTCTGTTGCGGGGTGACATCATGGTATGATTCCCGTTATTCTAGGCCTTAGAGAATATATATATGAAGGACGCATTGTATGCTCCAACCGCGAGACGAGATGAGAGAGACAAAAGACAAATAGCAGTACAACCTATCTCTCTCTTACACGCCTCTGATTGGTTGGCCCCCTTCCGTATATATAGGTATAGTCGTGTCCATGAGTGGCGGTCTTGGGGGAACAGAGCAGATATATGTTAGTCCGGGAGCCCAACGCAAAATCACTTATCCTACTTCGGGCACGCTAAAACTTTGTCAGAATGCAGTACTAAGTGAGTCAATAACAATGCACCACGGCAACCCTATAAGACTGGCGCCATATGAGAGGGGGAGGGGCTTTTGCAATGCAAATTTGAGTCACTTGCTTGTCTTACTTCGGGCAGCTTGAAACTTTGCCAACTTATAGTATTGACCATGCTGATTATGGAAAAAAATAGGTTGCCTAGGTAACCGGCGCCAGGGGGTTGACAACCCTTATTTGATAGCCCATATTTAAGTCACTTACTTGTCTTACTTCGGGCAGCTTGAAACTTTGCCAACTTGTAGTATTGACCATGCTGATTATGGAAAAAAATAGGTTGCCTGGGTAACCGGCGCCAGGGGGNACAAAGTTCTCCTCACCCGTCTTCCGCTAAATTGCAGCAATGGTCTTCTCCTTTTTCTCTGCTAATAGGCACACCACGTGCACACTCCCTTTTTTCCAACCTCTGGTCTTTGTACCCCTAGCGCACGTAACGTATATATATATTTACAATTGCATCGTGTGCGCAGATTAGCAAACGATATCGGGGCCAAGGTTAGCAGCACCAGCTCCAACTCAAGCACGCGCGCGTATAAATCTACATGTACTTGTGCCTTGGGCGTTCGAGCGAGCGAGCGTGCTCACAGAACAATGAAATTTATGTACAGTCAAACGCCGTGACGGGCGTATACTGTAATCATAACAGCTGCGAAAAAAAAAGAGATAGAGGGAGACACCTGCACATAAATAACGTGTTCGATGCGAGAGTGATTGTGCGTTCGTCGACACCTTCTACGGATGCATACGGGTCTACAATGACGCGTCTTCCGTTTTTTATTTTTTTTTTTATTCATTTTTTTTTTTTTTTATAAACCTTAACACAACTATAAGTGATTTTGCAGTGGGCTCCCGGACTATAACCTAAGCTGTGATGAAAAAGAACTTATACATTAACAGAGAATATAGAAAATATATCATCTTCAAGTATAGAAGGCCAAAGCAGAATTCCGAGAAATACACACTAAAACAATAATCTTCCATTAGAAAATAATTAAAACAACAAAATTTGAATAAAAATTTCCAATTTTAATTAAAGCTTTCATACCTGGTTAAACACTTGATGTACGGCTAATGACTCACCTAGAATGGTTGACTTCGATAGCTGAGCGGTCAAGAATACTCCATTAGCTTTTGCGCTCTGGGCATCGAATCTGACCTATGTGTTTTTTTTTTTTTTTTTTTTTTTTTTTTTTTTTTTTTTTTTTTTTTTTTTTTTTT